TTCCATGACAGTACTTAGGTGTTACTTGCCTCTCCCACCCCCATCTTCTCCCCAGTGTATACTGGAGTCTCCCATAACCTGCCCGGTATGTGATATCACAAGAAATTGAATGTGGAAGCAGACAGGAGAACCAAAATCTCTTCTGTTAAGCCAGACACTAAAGATATATACGCAAAAATATAAAACAATGCCACTCTTCTCATCAATTTTAATAAAATGTTATTTATGTTAACACGTAACAGGTCTATTTTCTAATAATTTTAAAAATTTCTCAGTTTTAATTTTTAGTATGGTAAATATAGATAGATATAATCCATATTTTAAAAAACTTCTATAGGGTCCTCAATAATTTTTAAGAGTATAAACTTTTGACACCAAAAAGTTTGAGACCTGACGCTTTAAAGCATATACTCTCTGAAGTAGCTTCCACCTACTCCATTTCTTAAGGACAATACTTGATTGATCAACTCCCATCCCCCTCACCCAAGCTGTGTTGCAAAATCCAGAAACCATTTCTCTACTCCAGGCCTCCCTCATATGGGGAAGTGCTCCATATTGTGGGAATTATTTATTAACTTCTCTACAAACAATACCCTTCAATGTCATCAACCTATTTGAAACCACTTTCTTCATACCCTCTCTCTCTAAGACATGTATTTTAAATGTTCCTTCTCTCCAGCACAAGTAAATAGGGCTCTGCTTAGTAATATGTCAACAGAAAAAAAGAAAAAAGAAGATGCTTTGAGGCTTTGATAAGTGAGAAAATAATGATAGAATGTGGTAGAATGTCATATATCTCGTGTCCTGTCATCTTGTATTCTATATATCTCCTGTGTATATTAGCCAATGTTACATGTTGAAGGGGTAAATCCATAAAGAGTATAGTCCAGAATGTCCCAGCTTAGGTCCTTAGAAGATCTGCTCATGATATCCTACATAACACTCTTGAAATGTTAAATATTTCTACTGAAAATGATTAAAGACTTAAATATAAGACCTGAAAACATAAAACTCCTAAATGAAAACATAGAGAAAAAGTTCCTCAACGTTGGTCATGGAAATAATTTTTTGGATGTGACACCAAAGGCACAAGCAACAAAAGCAAAATAAACAAGTGGTACTACAACAGACCAAAAAGCTTCTGCACAGCAAAAGAAACAAACAACAAATTAAAAAGGCAATCTACAGAGTGGGAGAAAATATTTGCAAATCATATATGTGATAAGGGATTAATATCCAAAACATATAAGAAATTCATTCATTAGGAAAAAAAAACTATTAAAAATGGACAAAGGAACGGAATAGATATTTTTCCAAAGGCCAACAGGTATATGAAAAGACACTCAATGTCACTAATCATCAGGGAAATGCAAATCAAAAACCACAATGAAATATCACCTCACACCTGTTAGAATGACAATTAGCAGGAAGACGAGATAATAAGTACTGGCAAAGATGTGGAGAAAAGGTAACCCTTACGCACTGTTGGTAGAAATGTAAATTGGAGCAGCCACTGTAGAAAATAGCATGGAGGTTCCTTAAAAAAGTGAAAATAGGACTTCCATAAGATCCAGTAATCCCGCTTCTGGGTATATATCCAAAGGGAAGGAAATCAGTATCTCGAACAGATATCTGCACTTCCATGTTCGATGCAGCATTATTCACAGTAGCAAAGATGGAAACAACCTAAATGTCTATGAATGAATGGATAAGTAAGATGCGGTGTGTGTGTGTGTGTGTGTGTGTGTGTGTGTGTGTGTGTGTGTACTCTCTCATAGAAACAGAGAGTAGAACAGTCGATGTTTTCATGTCAGATCTGTATGTTTTGCCTCCATTTTCTTTTAGTCCAAACAACAGAACACAATTTTAGTAAAGTTAGTGCAGTTGGTCTGGACCCACTGCTCTTATACTGCAATCACTGTTAAACCTAATCTTTTGCCACAAAAAAACTGGGGAAGAATGTACCATATGCACTTGTCAAAATAAATTGTTTTACTTTGCTTTTAAAAACTCAAGGTAAAACAATTCCTTCCAGAAAAATTAAGAAATAAAAACTTGGAAATGTAAAATATGTTGTTAAGTCTTTGCATAAGGATGCTAATAGAGCATAAACATCAGTTTAAATTTTTATTTCAAATGAAAATTTTTAAGAAGGGGAGGGTTAGTAATTTGTTAAAAACTTCCCATTTAAATTAACTCAAGGGCTTCCCTGGTGGAGCAGTGGTTGAGAGTCCGCCTGCCGATGCAGGGGACATGGGTTCGTGCCCCGGTCCGGGAAGATCTCACATGCCGCGGAGCAGCTGGGCCCGTGAGCCATGGCCGCTGAGCCTGTGCACCCGGAGCCTGTGCTCCGCAACGGGAGAAGCCACAGCAGTGGGAGGCCCGCGTACCGCAAAAAAAAAAAAAAAATTCTTCAGCCAAAAAATGACCCCAGGGACTTCCCTGCTGGCACAACGGTTAAGAATCCGCCTGCCAATGCAGGGGAAACAGGTTCGAGCTCTGGTCTGGGAAGATCCCACGTGCTGCGGAGCACCTAAGCCCGTGCACCACAACTATTGAGCCTGCGCTCTAGAGCCTGCGAGCCACAACTACGGAGCCCGCGTGCCACAGCTGCTGAAGCCCGCACGCCTAGAGCCTGTGCTCTGCAACAAGAGAAGCCACCGCAATGAGAAGCCCGTGCACCGCAAGGAAGAGTAGTCTCTGCTCGCCACAACTAGAGAAAGCCCGTGCATAGCAATGAAGACCCAAAGCAGCCAAAAATAAATACATTTATGAAAATAAAATAAAAAATAAGTTAAAAAAAATGAACCCAACTTGCCTTCTCAATCCTAGTTCCCACCACTCTAATCTACATGCCCTGTGCTCTACACAACAGGGCTGCCCACTGCTCCTTACACAAGCCCTTTACTCTTCTGTCTCCATGCCTTTGCTAATACTGCTGCCACCATCAGACATGCCTATCTTCCCCCATCTCCTACCCATTGTTCAAGACCCTTCTCAGATGTCACTTTGACTATTAATCTTCTCCTGATCCCTAGAGCAAGACAGGAGCACAAACTCCTATAACATGTCACTACCACATCCTCCTACAACATTTTGTTTATATCTTTCTCAGGGCACTTTGATATCTAATAATAATAACTAACATTTATGATACACTATTTATCAGGAACTTTTAAAAGTATTTTCCTATATTAACTCTCTTAATATTCATCATAACCCTAGGAGGTATCATCCCATTTTATAGCTGAAGAAACATAGTTATGTGGAGGTTAAATAACTATGTCATCTAACTTATAAAGACAACAAGGTTTGTCCACCCAAGCAGTCTGTCTCCAGAAGCTACACTCTTAATTATGTGTTATACTGCCTCTCACTGCACATTATTTATTTAGATGAAGGCCCTTAAGATCAGGCCCTGAGTCTAAGCATCTTTTGTATTCTCCTATCACCAAGCAGTGTCTTTGCAGAGATGGCTGACAAATAAATAAGGAATTGACTTCCAATGGCCTGCTATTCCTTACCCATCCAATATGTCTACAACCCCTCCTATCTAGTCAAGTCACACTCTGTTCCACTCTCTTCATTATCCCACACCAGGATTTAGAATCTTACTATTTTAACTGACATTTAGTTAAGGTCTACTGTGAAGCAGGCATTGGGTACAGGTGTAGGTGAAACAAGGATAAATAAGCCATGGCTCCTGCGTTTAAAAATCACAGTATTAAACTACAGAGTGAGAAACGAAGGCTATTTGGGGAAACAGAGGAAGTCATTCAAAGATGGCTTTTTGGAAAAAATGAAGCCTGAGTTTGTCTTAAACGCTGAAAAAAAAGGGTCACATGAAGAGGGTGGGTAAGAGCATTCTAGGGTGGGGCAGCATTCTAGGCAGTAGTAGCAAACACAGAGCTCTCCAACATTTCCAATAATTTTGTGTGACTGGAATTAAGGTGGCAGGGGTTCAGTGGTGGGTAAAGAGGTCACGATCACCAGTTTACTAAGTGATGCTAGGATTTTCCCTCCAGAAAGCAACAGGCTTCCCTTTAATAGATTTTAGGTAGGGGAATAATGATCAGCGATTTATTTAGAGAGATCACTCAGCACTACAGAGGACGGTTTGGAAGGTGGAGAAAATGGAATCAGGGAGGTGGATTATCAAACTGATGAAGAGATTGGAACAGGTGGTTGAAGTTGTGAAAGCCTCTCACGACCCACCCTAGACCCACCAAGACCTCTCTGATTACATTAGTTTCCACGGTCACCCTCCCACTCTACCTCCGCCCAAATTCCTGCAGCACTAGTGAAATCTTCGGCCCAAATGTTGGCACTTAATTGTCTTTTATTTTATTCCCTATTTGTTTCCTGTACATTACTCGAGTCTCCCTAATTAAAACAGTACAATAAACGTTTACGTAATTGAGATGGCTCGTGACGTCGTCCAAGGCCAGGTAACGCGCTCTGCGTTACCCAGCGCCCCCGCCGCCCCGCTCCCACACGCCGGCTCAGCCCTCGGCCGCGGGGCGCAGTCAGGACCCGTCTGCTGTGCCAGAGTCCGGAGGGTTGACGGAGTCATTTATTTCACCCTCTGATACAACTATCGCCTCCTCCCGAGACCTAGCAGGCAAGCTCTCTCCAGAGTGGCTCAAGACGCCGAGCAGGGCTGTGAGACCCGCCACATTCACCAGAGGGCGCGTCTCCCCGGTTTCGTCGCTTAGAAAGGCCCTAAGGTTCCCGTTCTCAGGACGGAGCAAATGAACGCTGGTATATTTAGGCCCTCTGCGGTCGCCGTAGCCCCAGCCTGTCAACCGGAAGTAGAATTCTATTTGGGACTGCTTATTCGGGAGAGAAAGGCCAGAGATTCGAGGGAAACACGCCCACTCCGCTGCTGCATAAGTTCTCAGGGAGTTTGGACTCCATCCCCACTCTTGTGCCTCCCTCGCCCGCTTCTGCCCCGGTTCACGTATCTTGCCCTTAGCCAGCTCCCTGTCTTAATACAGAAGCGTCACCGCGACCATGGCCGAATACTCCTACGTGAAGCCTACCAAACTCGTGCTCAAGGGAACCAAGGCCAAGAGGTAAACCGCGAGTTTGTTCGGGAGAATCTGCCCCTCTTTTCCGACAACCCTCCGCTCTCCTCTCGCTGCGGCTAGGCTGTGGAAGCCGCCGGGAGCTGTCATTCAGGCTCCCAGCCCTTGGGCCTGGCCTCCTGCCGAGATGGACTCAGTTCCCGGCGCCGGTGCAGAGACGCACCGCCAGAGTCGCGCCCTAGCTGGGCGGGCCGATAGCCCAGGAGCCACAAATTCAGGTCCCTTGATGAGCCCCCCCCCCCACCTCCAGACCTATGCTTGGTGGGTCTGTATCAGTGTGATAGTGTAGGTTATAACAGTAACTTCCTTTATTAGGAATAATTATTTTCAACATTGTCTCCCTCCCACCTAGAAAAAATTAGCTTTTAATGTAATATGTAGATGTGGATTTTGAAAAGGATATGGGTTTGAACCTGGACTCCACTAATTACTAATTTTGTGATTTGTGGCAGGTACGTTAATATCTTTGAGCTTCCATTTATTCGTTTATCGGGAGAGATTAATGATACTCTAAAAGGATTATTATGAGGATTAAGTGAGATAATGTGTACAGTAAGTAACTAGAGCCAAATACAAGGAAGAAGTTATAATGGTGATTTATGAGTATTAGATTTTTAGGAAAAGATATCTGCCCACTCATACCTCCACCTCTTTTTTAACTGCTATATTTGCTCGGGGCTGATTATTCACAAAAATGTTGAGCATTTCATCCTGGTCTGAGTGATAGAGTTTTAGGTACTTTTATGAGAGATGGAAAGAAAGTGTCAAGGAGCAAACTGAAGCCACTGCACTTGAGAACTCTGCCTAGGGGTCTGGCATCAAGAATTTATCCTGAATACATGTGAAACTGTTACTGTCTGAATTCATAGGAGGGAGGCGAGAGTTAGCTTCTGAAAGCTTATTTTGTGATGAAAATACAAACAAGTGTGTCTTATAACCATTATAACTATCAGTATAATTAACACATACATAGCACTTCCTATGTGCCAAGAACTGTTCTAAGTACTACATATTAACTTTTTTTTTAAAGTCACTCTGGGTTTTCTTTTAATTATTGAGATATAATACATATACTATAAAATTCACCCTTTTAAAGTAGAATTCAGTGCCTTTTAGGATATTCACAAGGTTCACCACTGTCAAGCTGCTGAACATTTTCATCATCTCAAAAAGAAACCCCATAATCATTAGCAGTCACTCCCCATTCTGCTCATCCCCTAATCCCAGGCAACCACTAATCCACTTGTCTGTATCAGTTTGCCTCTTCTAAATATTTCATATAAATGGAATCATACAATATGTGGCCTTTTGTACCTGGCTTCTTTTCCTTAGGATAACATTATCAAGGTTCATCTATGTTATATTAGTACTCATTCCCTTTATGGCTGAGTAATATTCCATTGTATGGATACAACACATTTTGTTTATCCATTCATCAGTTCATGGACATTTGGGTTTCCACTTTTCGGCACTTGTGAATGATGCTGCTATGAATATTCTTAATACAAGTTTCTGTGCGGACATATGTTTTCTTTTCTCTTGGGTGTATACCTAGGAGTAGAATTGTTAAGTCCTATGGTAACTCTGTGTTTAACTTTTTGAGAACTCCAAACTCTTTTCTAGAGTGGCTGCACCATTTTACATTTTCATGAGCAATGTATGAAGATATGCATTTTCTTAATCCTCACAACAGCCTTAAGAGTTGGGTTAAATTATTATCCTCACTGTGTAGGTGGGGAAACTGACTTACAGAGAGATTAAGTAAATTTTCCAAAACTCACAGAGCTAAGAAATGACAGAATCAGGCTTTTAAAAGGCAGTTTGGGGGCTCCCTGGTGGCGCAGTGGTTGAGAATCTGCCTGCTAATGCAGGAAACACAGGTTCGAGCCCTGGTCTGGGAGGATCCCACATGCCGTGGAGCAACCGGGCCCGTGAGCCACAACTACTGAGCCTGCGCGTCTGGAGCCTGTGCTCCGCAACAAGAGAGGCCACGATAGTGAGAGGCCTGCGCACCACGATGAAGAGTGGCCCCTGCTTCCCACAACTAGAGAAAGCCCTCGCACAGAAACGAAGACCCAACACAGCAAAAATAAATTAATTAATTAAACAAAAAAGGCAGTCTGGCTCCAGAGTCTGTTCTCTTAACTGTAACACAGTATGTACAGGATCAGAAGTGACTTCTCAGGATTAGAAGTAAGAGGGCGTATAAATGTATATCGTTGTAAATCAATAATTTATATATCAATATACATCTTAAAAGAGTCTTCTAAGATTCCATCTTATGACAGTATGCAAATCAATATATTTAAACTCATCTATATAAATTATCTCCTATAGTAAGAAGAAAAAGAGCAAAGAGAAGAAGAGAAAAAGAGAAGAAGATGAAGAAATTCAACTTGATATTGTTGGTGAGTCAGTTTTGTATACTTTATTCTGAGAAAAGTTAACATTGGTTGAGATTCCTTTAAAACTATTTTCCTAGTAGGGATAAGTAGTAAAAAGGAAGTAGAAGGAATTTATGACCGACTCATATTTGTCTTAAAGTGCTCAAATATTACTTATAGTTATAGATTGCTTTTATGCTCTAGCACAGTAGATGTCACTGCTGAGGCCTTTTCTTCATCATCAGAACAAAGCACAGGAGAGAGGAAACATGGTTCTCTGAATCATTACACTGCTTAATAACCCAGAGATTCTGATATATCATTTAAAAAAAGACCTAATATAGATAAATATTATTTTTTATTTTATTTATTTATTTATTTTTATTATTATTATTTTTTTTTTGCGGTACGCGGGCCTCTCACTGTTGTGGCCTCTCCCGTTGCAGAGCACAGGCTCTGGACGTGCCCGCTCAGCGGCCATGGCTCACGGGCCCAGCCGCTCCGTGGCATGTGGGATCCTCCCGGACCAGGGCACGAACCCATGTCCCCTGCATCGGCAGGCAGACTCTCAACCACTCCGCCACCAGGGAAGCCCAATAAATATTATTTAACCAAATACATTTTACAAATTATTTTCTCTCTCTCTTTTTTTTTCATATTGATATCCAGCTGTCCCAGCATCACTGATGAATGGACTTTCCTTTCTCCATTAAAGTGCTTTGGTATCTTTGTCAAAAATCAATTGACTTTATATGTGTTAAGTCTATTTCTGGACTCTGTTCCATCAATTTGTCTACTGTTCTAGTGATATATTTGTCTTGATTACTGTCATTTCATAAAGTCTTGAAATTAGGTTGTGTGAATCTCCCAACTTTCTACTTCTTCTTTATACTTCTATACTTATTTATATTCTTCTAGACCCTTTGCGTTTCCATATAAATTTTACAATTTATTATTTTCTACCATAAATCCTGTTGGATTTTCTGGGAGAATTATATTGAATCTAGGTCTTTTGGGGAGAATCAACATTAAGTGTACTTGGTCAAAATGGCACAGAACAGAGAAAATACAAATAATTTAAAATCATTAACTATTATATTTTTAAGAAAGATTTAATGATCATAGGATGCTGATAATGATTCTGAGTAAAGCATTTTTTTTTACTGAAAACAATTATAGCTGTAAGTCAGAAATAAATTATGTAAAGCTCTCACTAAATTATTTTAATGTGGTAAAATATACATAACAAAATTTATCGCTTTAGCCATTTTTAAGTGTACAATTCAATGTCATTAAGTGCATTCACATTGTTATACAGCCATCACCACCATCCATCTCCAGAATTTTTTTCATCTTGCAAAACTGAAACTTTGCACCCATTAAATTATAAATGCCCATTCCTTACTCCCCCCTAGTCCCTGGCAACCTCCATTCTATTTTCTGTCTATTTTCTGTCTCTATGAATTCAACTACTCTAAGTACCTCAGAAGGGTGGAATCATACAGTATTTGTCCTTTTATGACTGTCTTACTTTGCATAATGTCTTCAGGGTTCATCCATGTTGTAGCATGTGTCAGAATTGCCTTCCTTTTTAAGGCTGAATAATATTCCTTTGTATGTATATACCACATTTGTTTATCCATTCATCTATCAATGAAAACATGGGTTGCTTCTACCTTTTGCCTGTGAACATGGTTGTATAGATAACTCTTCAAGACTCTGCTTTCATTTTTTCTTGGTATAGACCCAGAAATGGAATTGCTGGATCATATACAGTAATTCTATTTTAACTTTTGTGAGAAACCACCATACCATCTTACATTCCCACCAGCAGTGCACAAGAGTTCCAGTTTCTCCACATCCTCATGAACACTTGTTATTTTCTGTTCTTTTTATAATAGCCATCCTAATGGGTATGAAGTGGTATCCCATTATGGTTTTGGTTTGCATTTTCCTAATGATTAGTAATGTTGAGCATCTTTTCATGTGGTTATTGGCCATCTGCATATCTTCTTAGGAGAAATGCCATTCAAGTCCTTTGCCCATCATTTGAATTGGGTTGCTTTTCTTGTGGTTGCTGAGTTTTAAGAGTTCTCTACATATCCTGGATATTTATTCCTTATCAAGTACGTGATGTACAAATATTTTCTGGTTGTCTTTTTACTCTATTGATACTGTCCTTTAATGCACAAAAATTTTTCATTTTGATGAAGTCCAGTTTGTTTATTCTTTTGTTATTTGCACCTTTGATGTCATATCCAAGAAATCATTGCCAAATTCAGTGTCATGAGGCTTCTCCCATATGCTTTCTTCTTAGAGTTTTATCTTGATAGTTTCAGCTCTTACATGTAGGTCTTTGATGCATTTTGAGTTAGTATGTGTATATGATATTAGGTAAGGTCCAGCTTCATTTAAGCTAAACTTTTACTAATTTTTTATTAGTTATGAAAAGCCTGACCTGTTTAGCTGAATACATAATTTTGTACAGTGTGATTAACTCAATTTAAAAAAATTTTTATTATGGAAAATTTTCAAACTAATAAGTAGAGAAAAGAATGTAATGAATCTTCCATGAATATAATGAATCACTGAGCTTTAGTAATAATCAATATTTTAACAGTCTTGTTTCATTTACACACATGCCCACTGTGAGATAATCTCTCATGCGTACATTTTTCTGGAGAATTTTAAAATAAATAACAGATACTAAGTCATTATACATATATACATAAATGTGCATTTCTTATAAGATCAGTCTCTCTCTTTCTCTCTTTTCTTCCTTCTGTTTTGCTCTTTCTTTTAATACATAACACTATCATTATCAGACCCAACAAAAATTGGATACAATTTAGGTTTGTACTCAACAGTGAAGAGCTTTTCCTCTAAGATCAGGAACAAGACAAGGATGCCCACACTTGCCACTTTTATTCAACACAGTATTGGAAGTCCTACAGAGCAATTAGGCAAGAAAAAGAAATCCAAATCAGAAAGGAAGAAGTAAAAATGTCACTATTTGCAGATGACAGGATATTATATATAGAAAACCCTAAAAACACCAAAAAAACTGTTAGAACTGATCAATGAATTCAGTAAAGCTGCAGAATACAAAATGAATATACAAAAATTTGTTGCATTTACTATACATTAATAATGAACTATGAGAAAGCAGAATTCACAATCCCATTTGCAACTGCATCAAAAAGAATAAAATACCTAGGAATAAATTTACAAAGGAGGTGAAAGACCTGTACACTGAAAACTATAAGACATTAATGACAGAAATTGAAGAAGACATGTAGAAAAGATATTCCATGGTCATGGATTGGAAGAATTAATATTGTTAAAATGTCTAAACTAACCCCAAAGCAATCTACAGATTCAGTGAAATTCCTATCAAAATTCCAGTGGCATTTTCCACAGAAGTAGAACAAACAGTCCTAAAATTTATATGTACCACAAAAGACCCCAAATAATCAAAGCGATATGGAAAAAGAAGAACAAGGCTGGAGGTATCACACTTCCTGATTTCAAGTATGTTATAAAGCTAAAGTAATCAAAACAGTATGGTACTGACATAAAAACAAACACATAGATCAATGGAGCCAGATAGAGAGCCCAGAAATAAACCCATGCATATTCCAGGAATATACAATGAGGAAAGGACAGTTTTTTCAATAAATGATGTTGGGAAAACTGGACTGCTATCTTGTACCATACACAAAAATTAACTCAAAATGAATTAAATGTTGAAGTGTAAGACCTGAAACCATACAACTCCTAGAAGGAAAATATACATAATAAGCTCCCTGACCTCAGTCTTAGCAATTGTAATTATAATCTGGAGGGATACATAAGAAACAGGTTGCAATAGCCATTGCCTCTGGAAAGCAGTCGTGGATGACTGGAGGCTGATATGAGAGAGTCTGTTCTCTATATTTCATTTTGTGCCTTCATGTGTACTGCTATTTTACATTTTAAAAGAACCCAATCTTGACTGTGGTGGTAGTAACCTAGATCTACATACCTGCATAGAAACATACAAGTGAGTATGTGTAAAAGTGATGAAATCTGAATAAGTTTCATGGATTGTATCAGTTTCATGGATTTGGTTTTGATACTGACTATAGTTACGCAAGATGTTAGCCATTGGGAGAAAGTGATTACAAGGTATATGAGATCTCCCTGTATTATTCTTAAAACTACAAAATAAAAATTTTAAATATGTTATAATGACAACAGCAACAAGTAAGAACCTTCTGTCAAATCCAGAATATAAATTTAAATTACTGATTTTATTTTTTAGGAATCTGGTGGACAGTAACAAACTTTGGTGAAATTTCAGGAACCATAGCGATTGAAATGGATAAAGGAACCTACATACATGCACTTGACAATGGACTTTTTACACTGGGAGCTCCACATAAAGAAGGTTTGTGTCTGGTAGAAGGAATGGAAGGGAAAAGGCTACAGTATATATTTTATAACGTTCACTCACTTAGGCCAAATTCTAACAAATCTCGAATATATTCCGAAGGAATGAATCCATTGATTTGACTCTTCCATTTTTTTTCCTTCTTCACTATTTACCAGTTATTGGCAACTCCCTCTTTCCAGTGTAAGCATTTGAAAACATTCTGTATAGTTCCAGAAGAGTATCCATGGGAATCAAAAACAATATGAATAATTGAAATGATAAGTAGAAAGAAAAAGAAAACCTGGTTGAGTCAAAGGTTTGAATTCCTTTATTCTTTAGACCTTTTGCCAAAACTAATCTGGAGCATTAAATAACTTAATAATTTAAAGTTTTCTCATTCCTTTTAGCCCATGGGAAGAAGCACTAATGAGATACGAAGAAATTAGAAGATTAAAAAGCAGTAGCTTTTTATCTGAATGGCCATCCCTTGAATAAATTAAAGCATTTAGCTTTTTAAATATTAAGTGCTTATTTGTCTATGTGCTGACTGCATTTTAAAATACAAAGAGATAGTATCTTGGAAGTGACTAAATAAGTATCATGCTAACCTATCTTGTTAAGTATGTAAAACTAAACATGAGTTATATAGAAGATAAAATAACTCTTGATACTATGAATACTGTATTATAATCACATCATAATATAATATTCTTACGTTTGTTTTTAAAAGAGCTACTTCTTTCAAGCTAAAGAGTATCTTTATATGTATATTTATAAGAAATGTCAAATTTATTTCAGATTGTTTTTTCTCCTGTAGTTGATGAGGGTCCTAGTCCTCCAGAGCAGTTTACAGCTGTCAAATTGTCTGATTCCAGGTAAGCTTGAGTTGAACTATAATTAATACATTGTAATACAATATGATACATTGTAATAGAATATTATATATCCATTAAAAGTAGTGTTTTTGAAGAATAATGAATTTGGAAAAGGTTTGCTATATAAGGTATTATATAATACTTGTATTAAGAAAGTAGAATATTAAATTGTATACATAGAACTACATTGTCCAATATGGTAGCCACTAGCCACACATGGTTTCTGAACAATGATTAGTCTTGAATTTTTATACACACACATACTATTTTTATGTTCCATATTTAATTTCCTTTCTCTCCGTTTTTAACATTGATCTATTTTATTGATCTGAAGAATTGCCCTGAAATCTGGCTATGGAAAATACCTAGGTATAAATTCAGATGGACTTGTTGTTGGGCGTTCAGATGCAATTGGACCAAGAGAACAATGGGAACCGGTCTTTCAAGATGTAAGTACTCTTATTGTTTATAAAAGTTCCTTGTCAGTGAATGGGAAAGTCTCTAACATTCATTGAGAACATATGTTCAAAAAAAACAAAAAAAGTAGACTGCAATAATGCATTAAATTTTTTAAAACCAACATGAATTCATAACCTTAAAAAGAGCTCAAAAAATAGTGCAACACAGGGGAAAAAAACAATCAACAAAGTGAAAAGACAAGCTATGGATTGGGAAAAGTATTTGCAAACCATATATCTGATAAGGTGTTAATGTCCAAATTATATAAGAAACTCATTCAATAGCAAAAGAAAGAAAAATTTAAAAATGGGCAAAGAAACTGAATAGATATTTTTCATTATATGAGCAGAAAACACCAACATATGATAAGGCCAGAATGATGAGTCAGATACTACCAGTTATACAGAATTTGAGGGATGTTCATTTCACTTTATTTTTGGGAAAAACACTAAGTTTTAAAATTTTAAATTTAAATGAAAGAAAGACTTAAAAGTCCCTGATGTAACAAGTAAAACTATGTTACAAAAAGGTACTCAGCAGAAAGATCAGCAGCACAGATTTAAATCACCTTAGACTATGCAGCCACATCCAAGCTTTACCAAAAGTCATCCAGGTGACAGAAAACCCAGCCCCTACCACCTCAAATAAGAAATTAAGTCAAACCCATGTTATTAGCACTTTTGTTACTGGATATGATAGAAGATTTAATTCTTCCTACACCCAAAAGTCCCTCAGACATTGATTCTTAAAGTTCTGAGCAATAAATTCAAAGGCATCGAAGGCTAGCTTTTTTTTTTTTTTTGCGATACACAGGCCTTTCACCATTGTGGCCTCTCCCGTTGCGGAGCACAGGCTCCGGACACGGAGGCTCAGCGGCCATGGCTCACGGGCCCAGCTGCTCCACGGCATGTGGGATCCTCCCGGACCGGGTCACTAACCCATGTCCCCTGCATCGGCAGGCAGACTCTCAACCACTGCACCACCAGGGAAGCCCGAAGGCTAGCTTTTATGAGATATATTTTCTCTGCATTTTTTAAAAATTTTATTGAAGTATAGTTGATTATACTTCAATCAACTATGATATGTTTTTATATTTTCTAATTATGGAGAAAAATTTAAAACACTACTATTATAATTTTTTTTGTCTTTAAAGCTAACTTTTTAAAACACTAAATCAGTTATATCCACAATAAATCTCTGAGGCCAAGGGAAATATTTCTATTCCACACAGTTAGAATTTAGTCCTACTAATAGAATATACTATAAATATTTAATGTGGTTATCTTTGAGTAGTAAGATTATAGGTGATTTTGGTTTTCTTTTCTGTATGTTTTTTTATTTTTCCAGGTTTTCTTCACATTATTTTTCCTGATTACTTTTAGACATGGGAAAAATTCAATTTAGTCTCAAGACTTAAGAATTTTTTTCACAGGTATTCTCATAACTTATTTCTTATTATTTTATTCATTTAGGGGAAAATGGCTTTACTGGCCTCAAATAGCTGCTTTATTAGATGCAATGAAGCAGGTGATATAGAAGCAAAAAGTAAAATGGCAGGAGAAGAAGAAATGATAAAGGTAATCATGAGACTTTTCTATAGACTAATACATGTCACATGTATGATGTGACTGCTTCTCTTTAAAATGTTGTAATCTGATCCAGATTCACTGTGTATAATGCATTAGTGAGGGCCAGAGTGGAAGGCTTAAAGAAAAGGGAAAAAAGCCTTTTCTAAGGTGGCTTTAATCCTTATAAATAAAGCATAAAAATCCATGTTACATTTTCTCTACTATCAGCATAATTTAAACACATCTATCAAGTATCTGCATATGTTTTGTTTTAAATTCTGTGTCATATATTTGATTTTATTTTTAAAATGTTCTTGATTTTCATAATCCTCAGTTTTACAGTCTTACAGTATTCTTTTTACCTTGAAAAATATCACTGATCTTTTTAAACAAGAATGTTAATACCAGTAACTCTTCATTTCATCATTTGGAGTTGACTGATGGAGAAGAAAATACCATTCTAGGCAGCTCAGGAATTAGAAGTTTCGGTCTATCTTCCATAGTTTTCTCAAAAGCCATTTTCACTGCCAAAATCTCAAAAAATTTAAATCTAAAACCTAGATATTCTTGTTATATTTTAAAAAGTATTAGTCATAATATTTTTCAATTATATAAACAAAACTACAGCAAGTAGCTGCAGGTACTCTGCTGAGTGAGGCACATGCATAGTTGTCTTTAATCTTCATAGTGTTCCTGTGAGGTTATCTTAACTTTACAGAAGAGGAAACAACCTTTGACCTCCCCTACATCCTCACTGTTTTCATCATTCACTTCATGAATCACACAGATAAAGTGGAGACAGGATGTGTACCCAGGCCCAACTGACTCTAGAAATTACGTTCCACACCACACTGCTTCTCAGGAAGCAGTCATTAGAAAAATGCTGGTGGATTTCTGACTCACCTATTTTTAATTTTATTTATATTTAATTTTATTGTATCATGCTTGAATTTTCATCTGGATTACATTATAAAAGTATGATTATTGAAGACAAGCAGTACAAATGTATGTGCAGTACTTTGCACATCTACAGAAATAAAAAAACACTGTGCTGTATTTATCAATAATTACAACCCTTTTTATATGAAGTACCTGTCAGATTTCCCTGGGTCTGTCTGGTTAGTCAGGTACCTGAAAGCTCTGAGCAGTGATAATCCAGGACTCTTTCCACCTTGCCTTTTACGTTGCAGGCTCTGCTAGTCTGTGTCAGCATCCACCTTTATAGCCTAGCCTTATCTACCAGAACACATTCCCTCCTGCCTAAAGCAGTATTGTGTCACAGACCTGGCCCAGATTTTCCCCAGGTCTTCTAGGACTCCTCCAGCCAAAACCGTCACACACATATTATTTGCACATGCCTATTGCTCACCAGTTTCTAAGCAATCTTGGAATTGTGCTCTAAGCCACAGAGATCCCTTTCCAGTGTGGGTCCTTTGGGTTGCAAATTACCAGTTTCATGGCCCTGAATTCTGGTCTCTTCTTACCCCACTCAGCTGATCCTAATTGCTATATCTGTATCAATTAATTTATGGAATGTGATAGTAAGTATCTGTCAAAACTGATGAAAGTATAAGGAGGATTTGAAAGGGATTCCAATTAGATGAAAACAAATTGTGTTATGTTAAAAGTTTTAATGTGTTGGTAATATCCTATGCATAGTAAAATAAACTTTCAGTGTTATAAAATGAACACTAAATAGCAGGATAATTTGATCCTACTGTATTTACTTTTGCAGCCAAAATTAAATTAGTTAAATTATTGCCTAATTGGCTTAGTGGGATCTGATCTGTAAAATGCTTTTCAAATAAGTTTCTCTTCAGTGTTTCTGATGTAAGGGCTCTAAAGAAACATATAATAGCAATTATTTAGATAAATTATATATATAAATAAAAACACATATCTAGAATCTGTCTTTTTCTGAATCTAATCGCTAAGTTAGCTGTTTTCTTCTTTTGCATAAGAAATCACCTAGAATGTTCTTTTGTAATAAGTAAGGTGGAGCAGGGGGAAGATAAATGTGTAACCTGTTGGGTTCTCATCTCCCATATCCAGATTAGATCCTGTGCTGAAAGAGAAACTAAGAAAAAAGATGATATTCCAGAAGAAGACAAAGGAAATGTTAAACAGTGTGAAATTAATTATGTGTACGTATATTTTTTCCTTTTAGAACTGTAGATTTGGCAGTGACATGCTTCTCAAGGCACCTAAAATAAAATAACCTGAAGGACAAGCAGAGACAACATAATGTAGACTCTAGGACAGAGCACTAAACTGAATGCTTCTCTTAAGGCTTCAGTTTTTGTAATTATCATCCTGCTAGCTTTCAATGCTCAAGTCACTTGAGTTAATCTATTCTCCCTACTCTATAGAGTGTCTGTCATTGTCAGTACATAATGCCAACCAAATGCTGCCAGGACACAGGAGACTCCAGCCAATATTCCAAATCTTGAGTTTGTAGAGCTATCCAAACAACTGCCTCTTTGATGGTGGGGTACTAAAGTCATTTTTGTTGTTGAAAAGTTGTATGTTATTTAAGAAAAACAGTTTTTTTTAAATAAACAAAAAACTTTAAAAAATATTTTAAGCTCATCAGTAAACATGTATAATCAAAGTTTGAGATATTTTTCAAGAAAGATATTTTCTTAACAGAAAGAAATTCCAGAGCTTCCAAGACCACAAACTTAAAATAAGTAAAGAAGACAGTAAAATTCTTAAAAAGGCCCGGAAAGATGGATTTTTGCATGAAACACTTCTGGACAGGTAGGTATATTTTTAATCATTTCCAACTACTTTCAGTGGCCAATAGAAGTAGTGTATATAAACCCATGTTCTTTTTTAATTACTGTGATTTTCAAATTTTTGTCTTTATTTTTAATTTTTCAATGTGGTGGTATTACCTTAAAAGGACATCATAAGTCTGGAAAAGATCACCAAGAAAGAATATCTGGACATAGCCAGATTCCAAGTGCTTATATATTTTACTGCAAGAAATTCAGGTGTGACTGAAACTGTTTCATAAATTTATTTACCATCAACTTTTTATAGCTATTAACCAGGGCTAGAAAGAAGTTCTTTGACTAATTTCAAAATTCAGTGGGTTCTGTAAAGTAGTACAGCTTTCCAAAAATGAGATAAAAATCAGTTTAAAAATTTCTAAGTATAAAATTGAATAACAAAATTGAAGCACTTTATTAAGTTGAATTCAGATGTGTGCAGGATATTTATCATAACACATTATTAATATTTATTTATTAGTATTCCTATTTAGGTAAGTAGTGTCCTAGATTTACAACATTTAAAAAATGCTTAGAAAATAAATAAAATTAAATTGAAAAAAAATAGATACAGAAGAGGTATAATGTATGTAAACTTAGTTTGTAAATTGTAAAAGGGTTATGTAGATAATGGTGTTATTGTTATCACTATCAACAATATTAATATTAAAGTGTGAATAATAATATTTACTGCCTCTTGAAAATAATTCTTTTTGCCTAGCTTTATGAAGTTTCTAGAATTCCACTCCAGTAAAAACATTTTAAAAGTTTATTTCATCTTCATTCAGAATAAAAAGTAAATTAAAAAATAATGATTAGAGAGGTTTAGCTGTGAGCTTACAAGTATAAATCAAGTAAGTGCCAGATCGAGAGAGAATTTGGTAATCTCCTGTCACTCATTCAAGTCTTATGTTGCAAAGTTTGTCTTAAGACATTTCTTTAAATTCCTTGATAAAGACAGTGTTTTATCACGTATTTCCTGTTAACCAGTTTATCAGGTGGTTACCTGAAGATAGCAAATGATGTAATAATTGTTTCCAGCTGAGCAAATTTAACATGCACCTATTTCTAAGAAATCAAGATTAGGCTATAGGGCTTCCCTGGTGGCGCCGTGGTTGGGAGTCCGCCTACCGATGTAGGGGACATGGGTTCGTGCCCTGGTCCGGGAAGATCCCATGTGCCGTGGAGCAGCTAGGCCCATGAGCCATGGCCATTGAGCCTGCGCCTCTGGAGCCTGTGCTCCGCAATGGGAGAGGCCACAACAGTGAGAGGCCCGCATATCACACACACAAGAAAAAGAGTAAGGCCTGTGTCCTCTAACTTTTATCACGTATGAAAATACAACATTGCCACCTTGTTAAATAGAAGCTTAGGGCATGCTTAAATTCAGAGGCAATTAAAATCGCTGTTATGGATTTAAAAAGCCCTTAAGCAACATGAGTTAAAGATCAGGAAAAGATTTTTTTTGTAAGAACAAAATCCATGTAGTATGAAACAAAATTGAAAAGTAAAATTTTAAATATTTTAATATAGGCAGTGTGGTAATATAATAACCAAAATTGAGAGCACAGTTTCTGAGCATGAGTTTATGTTTAGTAGCAGTTGGCTATATATGACATGTTTCTACATAGATTAACTTTTATTATTTGTTTTTGTTTAAACAGGAGAGCCAAATTGAAAGCTGATAGATATTGCAAATGACCAGGATTTTTGTTTCTGTCTTCTTTTTTTCTGAATAAAAAAATCAGTGGAAGTGTTTTAACAGAATTATTGGGCTGTTAT